AGTAGAAAGACAGAATGAGACATGCAGATTTTCTGGCCAAAAAAACCAATGTGGAGCTCCATGAAAAAGCAAACACAGTTAATATGAGAGCTTTATTGACAAAGCGGAGATGGCAATGGATAGGGCATGTGTTAAGAAAACCAGCCAGGAACATCAGCAAAGTATGCACTTTGATGGACACCAGAAGGGAGGAGGAAACCTTGTCGACCAAAGAACACCTGGCGAAGGAGTGTGAAAAAGGAAATGAGAGACCACAAACTAAGAGGTGGAGAACTTGAGAGGAAAGCTCAAGACAGAAAGAAGGAGAGAAGTCTATTCCTTGCCCTATGTGCCCCCGGGCGTAACAAGGACTAGTTATGTAGGTAGGAAGGTAGTTATCTCTTTCAAACGAGTTAGAGTAGTTATCTCGTTATAACGATTTAGATATCTCGTTAAAACGAGTTTATCATCTCGTTAAAACAAGTTACTTAACGAGGTTGGATCCTGATATTTAAAGTCTTAAACTTTTTTTGTCAAGTATATTTTTAGTTTCTACACACATAGCTTAATTAAATATCAAAACAAAAAATAGGGGTCAATATGCTTCTTTTGGCGCTACAGTACATTCAATATGACCTTTTTGCACTGAAATTTGTTTTTATCCAAATAAATCATGGGACAAAATAAACTTTTAGTCTGTTTAAAAATAGAAACATTAAAATCGTGACTAAGAAAAAGTTTCAAATTGCTTCGCATAATCAATTATTTGAAATTTCTGCACTTACAAAATGTGATTTTTCTGGCAATAAAAATTTAACAAGCAAGAAAATTATTTTAAAGTCTTAAACTTTTGCTGAATTTAAGCAGATTGATCAAAGTTATCTTATATATTCAGAAAAGAAAAACAAAAGTGAGGGTCTATGATGTAAATTTTTAGATATTACTAAAAAAGTGTTAATTTTATGTTAAAAATGGCTCAATTTTTTCCTGGACTTTCAGAATATATTTACTATATTTGTCACAATATAATGAAAGAATTCATATGAAATAATTTAGTAGATATTTCCGAACCAGCATAAAACGTTTCACTGCAAAAAAACAGCTCTGTGTGCATCCAGCATGGAAAAATAGGAATCTAAAATTAACAGTACTGTACAGATTTCAAAAGGGAAAAAATCGATCATTTTCTTCTAAAAAACGTTCCGCCACAAAATATAGTTCCTGGCTTAATTCTATTTGAATGGAATTTAATCGCAGTTTTTTCAATGGATATAGTTTAATTTGCATTGTAGAATCCAGATTTAATGTTAGAACTTAAAAATGATGCAGAATCTTAGAAATAAAAGTCCAGACAAAAATCTGCTCAAAAGGCTCAGGATTGAACCTCCTTAATTGTTACAGGGAGTTATTTATCTCGTTAGGATCTCATTATTGAGAGATAAAAATATCTAGACTTGATATCTGTAAGTAAAAATATCAGTATTTGAAATAAACAGGGGCGATTCTATCAAATCTGTTTGCACTGTGCATGATAAAGATTTTATGGAACAACCGCATGCTAGTTTATTGTCTTATGCATTTAATTAGATTTCTTTATTGAAAAGACTGTCGCGTTTTGTTGTTTAACCTAAAAATGGCAAAATAAAATTAGTGTCCTCTTCCAGTGATGTGTTTATAACGTCAAAATTATGTCGACTTGTACAAGGAGATCAGAAAAATTCGATATACTTTGGATGATTTAACCGCCCTGCTCAAGCATTGTTGACTTTAATCAAATCATGATAATTTTATGCGTCATAACATTTGTCGCAAGAAAAAAATGTGTAGAAATATTTGCACAATTTTATGCGTCATAACATTTGTCGCAGGAAAAAAATGCGTAGAAATATTTGCACAATTCCATATAATGCGAATTAATAATGTCGATATGATACCATTAGTTTTGTCCAATCAATAATATATTTTATTTGGATTTATTTTATACAATATCTACAGTCTGTACAATCGTATGGCATGTCAAACGTTGCAATATTCGGTCTTTTCCATTTGTATTGTAAAATTTTCTGTCTGTATTGTATAATTTTTTTTATTGTATAATTTTCCATTTGTTATATATAATTTCCCAATGGTACATGTATTATATAATTTTTATTTGTATTCTATAATTTCCCATTTGTATTCTATAATTTTTATGAATATTCTATATTTTTCCATTCGTATTGTATAATTTTTCACTTGTATCGTTTAATTTTTATTTTTATTCTATAATTTTTCGTTTGTTTTCTATAATCTTCCATTTTGGATTGTATATTTTTATTTGTATTCCATTTGTATTGTAAAAAAAATCATTAGAATTGTATTTGTTTTTTTCATTTTGCACTCCATATTATCTATTTGCATTGTATAATTTTTTTGTATTGTATATTATCCATTTATATTGTATAATTTTTTTGTATTGTAAAATTTCTTATTTATCTGAGGGATTGTTTATTTGTTTAGTAGCGAAGGATTTCATTGGTCAAGTTGTAGCCTGTATCGTTTTAACGAGCTAGATGTTCTGGGCGCTAAAAGGAAACTGTTTTGAAAAGGGGGCGCTGGCAGATATCAAATAATTATTTGTCCTTAGAAATGTTGACTGAGAAAATAATTTAATCTTGACTGGTGGTACCTAGCCCCCCCCCCCCCCTTCTAAAACTTGACCAATGAAATCCGTCTTAACGAAATAAATAAACAATCCCATAGATACAATATAAATGAAAAAAAAATAATGCATACAAATAAGAAATTTTACAATACAAATAATGAATTATACAATGCGAGATGGTTATATATCTGCTTGTTCACGAATTGTGTACAACAAAGCGATGCAACTAATGGTAAAAATGATCACCTAAGAATTGCTTTACTTATCAAAATATGATTTTTGAAAGCAAGACAGTTATTATAATTAAACCCTAGCACAAATGATTTTCTTTAAACATTTATCAATTGTTCAAGTTAAATTAATACAAAATCCATTAAAACTGCTGCCAATTTTTAGTCCTATATTGCTATTAAATTTTCTCGAAATTACGAGAAACTTATCTCGTTATAGCGAGATAACTAACTAGTTATAACGAGATAATTTTCTCGTTATAACGAGATAATTTTCTCGTTATAACGAGATAATGACTCGTTATAAAGAGATAATTATTTCCTTTTTAACGAGATTACTAACTTACCATAACGATAAAATTATTTCGTTTTAAATTAGTAATTCATTACGCGGAGTAAGGAGTTGATCCTTACGTCGCGGGTTCGAATCCCACTGTGGGACGTGGAGACCGGTCCTTCGGATGAGACCGTATAAACCGAGGTCCCGTGTCGCAGTAGGTGCTGAGACGAAAAAGATCCCTCACTGCTCAATGGCCCTGAGTGCCGAGCATAGTTCAAAATTTGCAGCTCTCCACCGGCAAGTGGTGGCGTCTCCATATGAGTGAAAAATTCTCAAGAGGGACATTAAACAGTAAACAAACAAACAAAGTTACTCATTATAACGAGATAATAATCTGGTTATAAGAAGATACTAACTCATATTTGTTCGTATCTGGGCAGAAATGAGCCTATCCGGCTTTATTTAACACAAAAGGTGGAATATTTCAGCATTTGAAACGTAGTAAGATTCAACGTTTACAAACACACGAAAAGGGGCGATGTCATCTTTGCATCTTTGCAGCACTCAAAATTTTGTACCTGTTACTAGATTGATTCAATGATCAGGCACGAGACAGTGCAATTGACCCCGAGATTTTTATAATTGATTTTAATCAGTAGATTCATCCATGCTACCCTAAACTAAACCAACTTGCTCCTCTAAACCAAACAAACTCGATGATAGTTTTGTTTGCTTGGGGGGGGGGGTCCAGAAACTAGTAGAGGGACTATACATGTATTATAGTTTACATTGTACAGTGAAGGAAAAAGCAAACACAGATCTGAAGTTGATACACCTTATTGGGACAACGCAGTTCAGAAGCTGCAAATATCAAACACAAAGGGCTATTGTAAAAACAAGGCTGTGATTAGATTTTTATTTATCTAGAATCCTTCTAGATATACAAATGTACTATTATTAATAAATGGAAATTTTGAAAGTTTCGATCCGGGAATTAAAACAGCCTCCCGTCCCTTCATATTTCATAATATTTTTGCAAACAGCTTCAGGGACAGCTGAATTTTGTTGGTTTAAAAGTTCTTGTTAGGATAAGCCGCAGGTGCTTTTAGACATGAACCCACTCCACCTTTCATAATATATACACAAACTGGCCCAACGGATTTTGAATACGGTTTGTTTCTTAATCATTTATTCTTCTAGCACATTAACTATGTGTTCAATATGAAAAAAACATAAAATTAGAATAAACATTTTATTTAAAAAAATCATGCTCACAGCCTCATAAAATATTATATCCCGACTATGATGTTTTACTATAAAACTTTATTCTACCTAGTGGGTATTAGCATATTGTAATTGTTATAAATTTTATATTACATTTCATAAATTGACAAATCCGAAGTCTATGAACTACAATGTTGTTCATTCACGTAATTTTCTTTTTCATTTTGCACAGGATAGCTTAAATAAACAAGTTGCGATTGTACACAATTTACAGTCTACATATGTTTAAGAAATTACATTGTTGAACCCTTTGGCTTCATAATTTACAGACTCTTACGCCATCTAGAGTTAATTCAGATTATGAATTTCTTTTTTGCACGCCATATAGCGAAAATTCAGTTAACTACATTGTACTGTTGGTTTTGCATCGATGATCGCTCGTTTTGCAACGGAATCTGTTGATTTTGCAATCGAGTTTGTTGATTTTATTTTAAGCAGTTTGTTCAAGCGCAACTTTGCAGGCCTTTCCGACAAGCCAAAAATCAAACCTAGATTTATTTAGGTACACGTAGGCGTCCATGACACCCCCCACCCTTCTCCTAAACTTTGAAATAAAGGTAGAGAGGTTTCTTATCTGTATAGCATGGAGTTGAACTTCATTGAATGTAAAGATATTACCTAAAATAAACTATACAGAAGGGACTTTTAACTCTGTCTATCCAATACTTTAATAAATAGGAAGCGACTCCATCTTGTATAAATTTTAACATCCGGTGATGTAAATGCATTCCAGGGTTTGTTTTTTTTTTCCGAGTTTGCCGGAAAGGTCCGAGAAGATGCGATTACTGTTAGTTTTGTATTTCAGTACGTTTTTGACAAATAAATTGTTAGTTTTTGTCTTTTTTACCCTTTCTCCCGCCCATAGTCTAAGGTGTTCAGTTGGCAATGATATGCTTGGGCAGCTTTGCCTCCATTTGAAAAATCTAACCAGTTTTTTTTTCCGGGGGGAGGGGGGTATGCACGTGGACAGGTTATCAATTAAAATCGCAATACTTCTATATCTCGAAATAAACAAAAATATAATGCCAAAAAGCCTCAACTTTAGTTTTTTCATACCTTGTTTCAATTGAAAATACACAATTTTGTTAAAATTTCGTGTGTGGCATTCTTCCAGTTCAATTTTAATTGCGATTTTACCTCAAATGTTTGAGACTCTCTAGTTGAATCTCACACATAACATGCATGATGTATTAAGGAACTTATTTTGATGTTCAAAACATTTGTAAATAAAATTATTTGAGATTTGCTTTCAAGATTCTTGCATTATGCTATATTGAAGGTGGAGATAGAAAACTTGAAAAACTGATGGTGGCAGCAATTGACTTTGGTTCAACGTATTCCGGATACGCATTCTCATCTAAATATGATTTTCAAGCAAATCCTCTAATGATTCACTCAAACCAATGGGCTTCCACCGAGTCAGGTTTTATTTCCTGTAAGACTCCTACTACTGTTTTGTTGAGGCCCAATAAGACCTTCCACAGCTTTGGGTATGATGCAGAAGATAAGTACGCAGAATTGGCGGAAAATGACGAACATGAGGGATGGTACTACTTCAGTCGCTTTAAGATGAAACTTATGAATGCGCTGGTAATCGATCTAAAATTACAATTTAGAAAAGTTCAGAACACAGGCACCTGATCAACCCTTCCTCCCCCTCCACCCCCCGTTATGAGATTTATTTTTACAGATTACGACAGCTTCTTAAAAATACATAAATATAAATCCTAACATGTCTTCATAACATGTGATATAAATTTCCTATATTACATTTTATAATTTGCTCTTCTACCAGTACATAAAAACAGTGCTGTAGAAAGCGGGGGGGGGGGGGGGGGGGGGAGGGGGGGGGTTTCGATGGAAATTTTCAATATTATACAGCACTATCACTGGAATTTATATAAAGGTGTCGTTTTATTGATTTTCAATCTAAAGTTGAATATGATAATTTTAAAAATTATCATGTAATCATATTCATCTTCAGATTGAAAATATAATAAACGACACATATAAGAGGCAGATCAAGGAGATGATGTTTAACAAACCCTTTCTATTCACGCCTGGTCAGACCTTTAAAATATTTGTTGTGAATCAGCATTTATATACCAGACTTGAATCATTCTTCTTTCACTTGCGGAGAATCGGGTTAGTGGGTGTGGTTATACCATCTTTACATCAGGTGCTTTTGGTTCAGAGTGTTATGCTTTGAAAAAAAATAACATTACACACTTGCGATGCTATAATGACTCATTCATTCGGAAATGTTTCTTCTTTTCATATTTAAAAAGTTCTATGTAATTATAATCCACACAGCATTATTATAATTTTTAGGATATATCCAAAGATCAGACCGGGAGTGACTGTCTTTTTACAGACTTGAAGAGGGACATGGAAATAGAGGACATTGATGGCAAAAAGATGCCATTTATGACAATCATAGCTCACGCCATTCGTTATTTGAAAGAGCACTTACTCGAACAGTTATACGAAAAGAACTTATTGGACGCCATAACAGCAGACGGCATTTTCTGGGTGATCACTGTTCCCGCCATTTGGACAGATTCAGCCAAACAGTTTACACGCGAAGCAGCAAGAGAAGTACGAAAGCCGATTTGGATCAATCTATGGAGAAAAAAATTTAAAAGGCGTTATTACGCCTTTTGAAAAGGTGTTATTATGCCTTTTGAATAGTCATAATTGGGCTCGTGCTTTTAAGGGGGGGGGGGGGGGGTGGAGACAGAAAACAAGATACCCACCTTCCCCGATATAAAAACTTAACTGCCTAAACTGGAGGGTTTTTTCTAACTTTTCGGTAAAACTTTTTTTTAAATACCATGATTTGCAAGAGTTTGACCATACTGCAACAAAATGTTCAGTGACCGAGCAGCCAATAAATGAATTTTTATATTTAAACTATAGCAAGATTATACTCCCAAAAAGTGGGGTTAAGGGAGCCCCACCCCCCTCGCACTCGTACTACTGGCCTGTTTGATAAGGCATTATATCCAAAAAAAAAATGGAAAGGCGTTATTTAATATTAATAAATTTATGAAAGATTGAATCAAAGCCATCTTTATGCAACATTTAAAAGTGTTTTCTATATTCCTGCACATCTCGCAGACAACTGTTTGCATGCGTATTAAGAGAAGTCAACACTCTACTTGTGAAAATCCAGGATAAAGGTAGACGCAGCTTAAGGGTTTTGCTGGTCATGTATTAAAAATTCATGTCAAATTTGAAAATATGTTTCTCTCCTCTTGGAAAAAAGCAGGCAAACTATTTGCATGGGTATAATGATCAATTAGCCTTCAACCAAATTTGTGAAATCCAAGACTCTTGGTAGAGGTGTCTGGCATCAGAGAAGGACTAACTTCGATTGACATTGAAAATATATTACACATTTAAAAATCTTTTTTCCTGGAAATCTAATTACAATATGTTTTAAATTATTATTGAGAAATAAGCCCTATATTTAATTGTGATATTCATGTCCCAAGGGTAATATTTCAGCCCCCGGGGTGGGCTAAGTTAGTCATGCATTGCAAATAAAAGGCGTAATAACGCCTTTTGCAAAGGCGTAATAGTGCCTTTTGCAAAGGCGTAATAGTGCCTTTTTGCGTTATTACGCCTTTTTTCGCGTTATTAAGCCCTTTTAAAAGGCGTTATAACCGATGCCTTTTTTCGCATTATTACGCCTTTTGAAAGGCGTTATATCGCCTTTTAATTTTTTTTTTCTACATACTAGATTGATCCTAATAGGCTTTCGTAGAGAAATAACTAAATTAATAACAAAAAACTGTAACTTTTCAATTGTAGTTGTTCTCTTTAAACCGGATTTTGTTAATGTGCAAAATTAAATTACAAGGGGTCACCTGGTAGATGCTATTGTATGTGGTCTTAGGGGACGACCATTGGGGGGATTATTTTGAGTCAGATCATTTATTTTCATGCCAGTGAAGGATAGTTTATTTATTTTCAAGATGACAAAGGACAGATAATTTATTTTCTTCTTCACGGAAAAAAGCTTGACAAAGAAATAACGGAAAACTGCCGAACTCATAAACTCTAATGGGGAGGGGGGGTTAACACCAGTTTAGGACAGACTATTTATTTTCTTGGCAGTTGAGGCCAAGTTATTCATTTTTACCATTTATGAGGACATGTATTTGCTGGTGGAAGAGGGATTGGTGACCGTCTGTTTGCATATTTTTTCTCCAAGCTTTTTCACATTTCAACTTATCTTTAGAACCACTAAACCTGTCATAGAGCTTCGACGGGTATTCATAATTCTTCATGTATCATTGGAAAATGTCACGTCTCAAAAAGAGATTATGAACATAAGAATTCATGAAAATGTGGTAAGGTCAAGTGAAAGCTTCCATATAAAGTGTGAATTCATTATACCTTATCCTAGGTTGAAACCACGGTACAGATAAACTTTTTGAAGGCAATATGTAGGAAAAATGCAAAGAATGTTAAGACAATTTGCAAACATCTTGTATTGAAGATCTAACACTGTTCACATCATAACGCCCAGAGCTACAAATCATGATCTAAAACTTCTGAAGACCGCCGGCAAATATTCATATATAAGCATATGCATTTACGCAGGGGGGGGAGGGGGGGGGAAGGGCTAAGATGGGTTCATGCAATATTAAATAATAAAATAATAAGTAAAGCAACTTAAAATATTTTAAGCCTTAAGAAACCAGGGTCACAATTGATCATTTGAATACACAGCATATCTATGTAATACAGAATCATTTCTGTTCAAACATAGCTTTAGGGCTAAGTGGGACCACAATGGAGGAGCAGAGTGTGACACTGGAATTTTTTTTAAAACCCTCTTTTAAGAAACAGCAGGGTCATTATTTATAAAATCAATCTTTAAAATTATCATGTAGTGTTTACAAAATCAAAATTATTCAAATGACACCCCTAGAGGTAGTGTGCAACAGAATCAGGAAAGCTGTCTTTTTCGTGGAAAATATAGGGAAAATCTTCCATTTAAAGCTGGATTACAATTTTTCATATTGATACACAAGCATCCCAATGAAATGTAGATTTAGTTTTGTTCAAGGAATGTCTCTCAATGACTTCTTCCCGATCACAATAGGAGAACGAACAAAGTTTTCTAGAAATTTAAAGTATGTTGACATTCACAAAAACAAAACCAAAGTTGCTGATTGATTGTATGTTGTTTTACGTCCCATTCGAGAATTTTTCACTCATATAGAGACGCCACCATATACTAGTGAAGGGCTTCAAATTTTGACCTTTACTCGGCACTCATGCAGGGCCATTGAGAAGTGAGGGACCTTTATCGTGCCAACGCCTGCCGTGACACGGGACCTCGGTTTTTAAGGTCTCATCCGAAGGACCCGCAACTTTCACTTCGAAGTGCCGAACGCATGGCGAAGGAACAGTTGCTACCCATTTTTTATCGACTTAAGTCTGTCGCGGCCGAGATTCGAACTCACAACCTCCCGATCACGGAGCGAGCGCTTTACCGACTGAGCTACCGTGAACGCTGCAACGTTGATGTAATCCTCAATTAAACATTTTAGAGTAATTACATCAACTCTGTGTTCATACTAGCAGGTTTCATTTAATGATATGATATTTACATCCACAGAATACCTTCTTTATTTCCTACGAAAACTATTGCTGTTTAGCAGTCAGTAAACAGCAATAAGGCTCTAGCATATCACCTGTAAAGATTTTTTGAGCAGTGACTCTGCCATCGATGCAATTAAGCGTACAATTACGTACATATCAATAACACAATATCTAATCTACTTAATCCTACTATAGGTAATTTTTGGACAGATATAAATATAAACAATAAAATTTCTTTGTTTGTTTGTTAGTATGGGAATTAACGTTGCAGCTATTGCAGATAAAAATTACATAACCCGCTTACGCGGGTTATGTATTTTTTCTGCAACAGCTACAACATTTATTCCCATACTAACAACTTACATGTACGAAAGCATTTTATTGTTTAATTTTCATTCATTTTTCAGGAGATTATTGACTCACGTGAGAGGCATGATTGTGTTGATTGGTCTATTGTTTTAAAACGTCATTTCATTGTACATTGTACAGGCTGGTATTAAAGACGACCAATTAAAGTTAGCGTATGAGCCAGAAGCTGCAGCCTTGTATTGTCGTCTACTTCCCATTGATAGATTTGAGATGGGTGGAGAACACCAAGAACTGGTCCTCCGAACCTTTGAACGAGGGAAAAAATTCATGGTTGTAGATCTTGGAGGTAGGTCATGATTATTTTATCCTACTGTCACATCAAAATTTAAACCTGTGTGGTTAAAGCTGAACACGACTCGTAAATAGGCATACGCCATTTTCAATATTACTATCTCCGATATCGGCACCGGGGTATATTCTTTGCATTCGTTACACCTGACTGCTTTATTGTCACGGATATCGCCGAGGAATGGCGACCCGTGTTCGTGTTGGTTCATATCTTGCATTACCTGTGTTAACATTTTATTGCAGTTACGTATATTTGTGTTTGTTTGTATAATGCACTGACCTGTGCAACTGTTGTAAGTCTCTTTAATATCTTACTCTCCAACATTGGAAGAAGTACACAGTTATTTTTGTCGCTACGAGTGTTGTATAGCATGCGTCCATCTACACCGGTGACGATTGATTACACTAAACTGTGACTAAGTGAACTGCTCTATATATAGGGGTCCTCAGATATAGCGAGACTCAGATCGAATATGGCGGACACATTTCTTTTACGAATCGTGTTCATCTTTAATACAATCTATTAATATTTTACTAATGCAATAGTATTCGGTCATGGTATTCACCTAAGAGATACAATAACAATGATATTTCCAAGAAAAGTGTTCGATACACACGCGTAATCCAATCCATGTGAGGGCATCTCTTCATTTCTTGAAACATAAATATATTTCTCGACATTGATTTTAAGAACTATTATCAGATATGTGTATCAAATGATAAAAATCTATCATTGTTTAAAGTAGTCAACAATTCCAGAATCTTAGCAAAAATAGTATCATGGAGATTGGTTTTTTTTGTTTTTTTGTTTTTTGTTTTTTTTTTTTTTTTTTTTGCCTCTAACGTACGAGACATGTATACGTCAGATGTAACATGCAATGAATGGAATCATACGAAACATGCAGGTATTTTTTACACAATGTTTTGCTATGAATGCCTCAGGTTAATTATATCAAGAAATTCATGGAGTTGTATACAGTGCAGTACAGAGTTTTGTTTCAGGGGGAACTGTGGACATTACAGCTCAAGAAACGACCCAGACAGGCGAAATGAAATCCATTTATAAAGTATGTGGAGGACCTTGGGGAGGTACCAGAGTTGATGAAGAATTTTTCCAATTCCTGATGAAGCTTTTTGGATCAGATGTTCTCAGTGAATTTAAAGTTCAGTGTAGGTCTGACTATTTACAACTTTTGCGGGCGCTAGAAATAACCAAAAGAAAAGTTGATTCTCATTCAAACCACGCAATTGTTATAAGGATTCCTTTAGCTCTATTCGATATTTTAAAAGAACATACCGATTGCAATATTTCTGAAATTGTTGCCCAGTCTCCATATGCCAGCTATATTAGATTTTCAAACCAAAAGATGTTTATTGACGCTAACTTGTTTCGAAGCTTTTTCAAAAATTCGCTATATGACATCATATCCCATCTCCAGGCTATCTTTAAGGATCCGAGTTGTAACATGTTATTAGGAATAGTGGTTGTTGGTCAATATGCAAATAGTTCTCTAGTTATTGAAAGACTCAAAGCTGCGTTTCCAAAAAATCGACTCGTCGTTCCCGTGGAGGCTGGTCTAGCTGTTGCTAGAGGTGCAGTTATATATGGACACAACCCAAAAATGATCTGCTCACGCATTTGTCGCTATACGTATGGAGAAGATGTTTGTGAACCTTTCAATAAAGAGTTACACCCATTAAGCAATATGACGAAATTCAACGGAGAAAAATATTGCAAAAATATTTTTCGAATGTTTTTTGAAAAAGGACAAAGAGTGTCCTTAGGCGAAAAGCAATCTTTCACTTCTGTTTTTGACTTTCGAGATGAAAGCAGAGCAGATCAACGGAAGGAACCATTAAATATAAAAGTATATGTCACGAATAGGTCAGATATTATGTTTGTTCATGACGTTGGATGTCGCGTTTTAGGGGAAGTTATTGTGAAATGCAAAGGTAAATTATGGCCTGATATGTTTACTTGTACTATAGAAATGCAGATTGCTGGAACGGAAATTCAAGTATCAGCAAAAATGAGTACCGGAGAAGAAACCAGCGCTAGGTTTGAGTTCTTGTGAGGTTTTTTTTTTCTGAAAACCATATGTTTTTTTTTTCCTTTTTCATTTTGTGAGATAATCCGTTTCCAAACTATTTAATTTTATTTTGTTAAGTGGTTCAGATAAATTGGATTTGTAAATAAATAGAAGTGATATCTAGAAGTGTTCCTTGTGTTTGTTTGCTAAGCTCTCCTTATCTTTCAAACACTTTATAAAACGAAATCCGTTTTCAAAACGAAAGAGGTAGTTATCATTGAGTTTCATTGAAGTACCCGTGACAGAAGACATCAGAGACAGATGAGGAGTGAATTTATATTGATGTCGTATATGTATATATTTCTTATAAAAAAAAACCCTGTCGAGAATGTTGCGTTGTGGGTTGGTAGCCCAAAGATATGAAAAACACCTTATCTGTACTGTGTTTTTTTTTTAATTCTGATCTATGAACCGTAGAAAAAGGCTATTCTGATGACTTGATGTGATATTTGGTTCACTGTTAGTAATGTTGTTGAAGTCAGTAATCTCAAACACCGATTGTTCTCTTTTGATTGATTTGAAGAGTGTATGTATATCCAAATGGTCATCTCCATTTCGGCGAATGATTTCTCGGAGGATTGTTGTGGAAGTTTCTTCAGGGTCACAGATAGCAGCAAGGATGAGTGTTTCGGGGTATAATTCAAGTGACTCAAGACTGCGCATATACATCTCTAATTTACTGATTTAACTCTCACATTCGGGATATTATTTGGAGCTGGAAGATACATCAGCTTCTGCATGTCTCAAAGCAATAATCTAATGTAGCTGAATTTTTCAACATCAGAGTGGCTGTTGTTTCTATGAATACTTGTTTCAAAACAATCCCAGAAAGTTTGTCATTCAAGTAAATTTCCAGAGAATACAGGCAACTTAAGTTTTGGCATTTTATGATTTTGAATCTTAGTGCTTCCTAAACTTAGCTGGGAAGGGTCATTGCTAGGAATGAACTGAGGTGTGTTTAGGAGTAGAAGGATGAACGTTCTCATTAACTTGACCAGGGGTAAACTGAGTCTTGTAATCCATTGCATGCTTCATCAGCACGTAGCTTGAGCCTTAAATCTTTTACTCATCTGATTCCTCAATTTCAGTTTCTATCTTACAGGATTAGATAATCCTTGTAGAATTTCCGTGTAAATATACTCTGATAAATTCTGTTTCTCTTGCAGTATTTTCATCATTTCATTCTTTGAAATTTCATCTTCAGATTAAGGAATTCTCTTCAAAATTCTTGTTATAGCACTTCAATGATCGGAACATATTGTCATCAATTTCACTGCATCCATTTCCGGGCTTGTCATACTATACCAATGGTCACGGCACCAATGTCGAGAATGTTGTGGGTTGGGTAGCCCGAAGATATTTAAAACACCTCTGTTCGCTGCAGTGTTTTTTAATGAACTCTGATCTAAACTGTAGAAAGTCTTTCACAAGACGTGGTGGTAACGTATATGACGTCATACTATTATGACAAATTATTACGGCATACAAAACATAACATGTGTGTATAGATTTTACAATAAACAAAGAAGAATAATTAGTCCATTAAGAATTCAACGACACACCCCTTGTCCCCATCTGTCTCAAACCTCACCCACCGAGTGCTTGTGGATATAGAGGGTGTCCAGTGACCCTGAACTAATTGTTTTATCGAGGTTAAAAAACCCTCTTTTTTTAAAATCCTAGTCCGCAGCTTATTAGTCCCCTACCGGTGAAACCGGAGGGGACTATAGGTTTCCTCTGAGTCTGTCCATCCGTCTGTCCGTCCGTCTGTCTGTCTGTCCGTCTGTCTGTCTGTCTGTCTGTCTGTCCCTCTGTCTGTCTGTCAGTCTGTCCCACTTGGTTTTCCGCACTTTTTTCCGAAACGCTTGCAGATATTGAGCTGATTTTTGGTATGTGACTGTATCTTGATGAGTTACAGATCAAGTTTGCATTTCGTTCCGCTTCATTGATTTTTGACGGAATTAGGGCTTTTTCAATTTTTACGGGTTTTCCGCAATTTTCTTCTAAACGCTTGTAGATATTGAGCTGATTTTTAGTATGTGGCTTTACCTTGATTAGTTATAGATCAAGTTTGCATTTCGTCCCGCTTCATTAATTTTTGACGGAATTATGGCATTTTCAATTCTTAACGGGAACGGAACCAGATTACACTTACCGGTAGGGGACTAGTATTGCTAATGCAATACTCTCAGAATGCTTGTTTATTTTCCTTTTGGCCCTACCTAGTTCAGACGGTACACGTAGATTGTTCATGTGTTCAAAATATCAGTGATGTTGAACCTAAAGTCTGAGGTTAAGGTTGAAACAAATCTCTTTGTGAAATCCTTTTTATTAGCATATTTTCTCCCTTTGCCTTTTCTAAATTTTGCTTCACCCATTAAGTGCCTGTGGGTAAGGGTGTGCAGAGACCTTAATACAAATTTCTTTTTCAGAGGTCAAGATAATAGTAGACCTTTGTGTGAAATCATTATCCTGAGTGTATTTTCTATCTCCTTGGCCCAATCTGGCTTATCCTAACCCAGATAAAGATGCAAATCAAAGGTCAAGATCAAACTCAATATACTGTCTTTTACAAATCCCTTTCACTCTAATGTCCTTTGCTAAAACTTAGACCCTTTGAGATGGCCACTTTCTCAATATTTAGTTTATGAATAAGGTGATTGACATTTACCTAAGAAATTGTCGATGTAAAACAATCCTTGAAAATCCACTGTAAACTTGAATATATCTTTGCTCAAATGTTCTCAGTATATTCAAAAATTAAAAACCTGTGTGTAAACTTTTTGAATTCGTCAGAATTCAGAGGATAATGGGATGTGTTATATTTTAATGTGTAGTGCATTCGAGGAGTAGAAACTTCCTAGCTATTTACAGTCAAGTAACGCTTGAAATCCAATTTCACTATAACCCTCTAAATTTCATACAACTACATGTTTTTAGTTCCCCACCAAGATTTCAAACATCTATACACATTACTTTATGAATAGGTCTGTGAAATTAGATTTAGAATGTTTTAAGTAAAAGAATTAATCAGAATATTGTAACTTTTAATAATTCTGAAGCCTAGATACTTATGCTGGGAAGGCTCAGTCGGTAGAGCGCCCCATCCATTATCAAATGGTCGTCGATTCGCGCCCAAATTGCGACAAAGCTAGGTTGATAAAAAAAAAAAAAAAAAAGGTAACAACTGTCACTTCGCCAGGCGCTGGGCACTTTGAAATGAAATTTAAGGGTCTTTTCGATGAAACCTAAACAAGTATTCGTTTTAAAGGAATAATCAGCATTGGATATCAGTAGTCAGTATCCTCAAATGTCTTGAAATTCATTTGTAGACTTTAAACTATTCTAAAAATCACTGTTTTTTTTCTATTTTAATTAACTAAAATTAATATTTATTCTATAAGTATTTTTTTTAATTGCACATTACTTTCAACTGAGTAACCCTCAAAAGGTTTCTATCAACATACCGAATTAAAATTGAAGCACAAATTTTAACCTAACAATGGTTGTAAAAACACAATATTGTTGCCTTAAATAACCTTTATTATTTTTTATTTAGTAAAGAGAAAGATGTACTGTTCGTATTTTTGTGAGATGGGATGAGATTCACATTGGCTAATATCTTTATAAGAATAGAACTCTGCAGGTTTATTAACTATGAAATATTTTACAGAGAAATTAATGTTGGAAGTTAATAAAACCTAGGTACTCATGCTTATATTCTGAACAGTTCTACACTCAGTCCATACTGCAAAAGATTTTTTCTTAACTGGATTGATCGAGTATTTATGAATATCTCAGCAAATTTAGGACTAAAACAAAGTTTAAACTACCTTATAGATGGTTTTAATACTAGTTTGCTGTCCCAAAAAGTCGAGAACACGACAGCTAGTAAACTTAATTTATTCTCTAGGAATGAACCGTAGATGCTACAACAAAATATAAACAATACAACGTAGAACATGCAAAAACGTATCATAGGTCAGGGAGTACACTACCGATAGGCAATAAATTCATTCATATCCAAAATATTTAAATGCATAAATTGAAAACATCATAGATATTGAAAGAAATGCACTATTTATCACTTATATAAAGATGAAAATGAAATAACAAAAATACATACACTGTGGTGTCTGTAAAACACCATCGATAAAACTCACAACATGAAAAGCTCGTGGAGCGGAAGAAGTATGTTGAACATAAACACCAAAACCAAATACCTAAAAATTTTCCGGAACGGAACAACTAGTATATGTTTTCCCGCTAAACGCCAAGCAAATCAAGAGCCGTGTGCAAAACAAATCGATACAGATGGCGTCATCGAAGATTTAATTGATATGTGATGTGTCAAGCACCTTAAGAGAGCCCTCTATACACTGCGCACTAAAGTGTTCTGATATTTTGGTATTTTTATGCAGATAGAGTAATCTGCCCTTTAAAATGTACAGTACTTAATTTGTGATCAGATCAAGATCAGATCATTATATTTTACATGTTTAATAGGTCAATATGAATAGATTGAACACTTCTTTGCGGAAATTTTACCCACTTACGTAAACAACAGTGATTTCTGTTCATCAGTACTTCATTGTCTTTGAAAAGTTTTCCGGGGGGGGGGGGGGGGTAAACGTAAGGTACCCTATGTTGAAAATATGATAGATAATCTCAATATTTATACCTTTGAGCACTATAATTTTCTCAATGTCCAAAAATTATTTTCATTTTATGTATAGACAGTCCTAAAAAACAACATTACGATATAATTAAAAATAAATATAAATAATATCTGTGAGATTTGAAACTACTTTATAAATGAAAATATGCTGAAAGTCCACGATGCTACAAATAGACAGAATGAGATAATTCGCGCTTTCTAGATTCGATGTAACGTGTATATTCCAGATGCTTCGCAAACACCAATGAAAGAATAAAATTATCCTTAAGGGAAGTATACTTTCGAATGGAATTCCTACGCATCAAAA